CTTTCCTTAATGTTTTCTTGATGTTCAGCTTTTGTATGCCCTTATATCTCTTATGAATAGTATATGTCTAGATTTTATTGTTTAATCCAGTCTCTTTGTCTTAGTCTATTTATATTACTGGTATTATTGATATACTTGGACCATTGTGCCATCCTAAATTATTTGTCCCACTTTTTCTGTTTCTTTATAATTAATCTCTTTAAATAAAAAAAAAAGTTATCTATATTACCCCTGCTTCCCAAATGAACATTTGCACACTCTCACATTACTCTCTCCTTTGCCCCAACCACATCATGTTGTTTCAATCAGAAAAGGAGGGACTATTCAATAAATGGATTTGGAAGAACTGTCCATTAACTAACTTATGTGGTCTGGATCCTTTCTATCTTTCTAAATATGCTCTCCTTTCCTCACTCTCCTTTAGCTATATTGTCCTTTCTGCTTTATGAATTCACTAAAATTGTTTCTGCTTTAGGATCTTTTAAAATTGCTGTATTCCCTCTGCCTGAAATGTAGGCTTTTCCTTACTGTCCTATGCCAGGAGTGTGCTGCAGCCAGCTCATATCAGCTCACAAGAGCCAGTTATGCGAATCTCTTCCCAAAACCAGGTTCATCGTTTTCACATTAGTAGTTTGAAAATGGCCATGCGTGAGTATTTATACCACAGAAATTGTCAAGTACTGTAAGTCAGGGGTTTGTTTTAACTCTTTAGAGGCTGCTTATCAGCACACCAATGATCTTATATGAAGTCATCATTCCCCTCCCTAGTCATAGTCTCTCCCAGTACATATTTGATTTTCTTCCTTGAACTTATCACTCCTTGAAATTCTTTTTGGGTTTTTTGTTTGTTTTTATTTTGTCTTGTTTTTTTATTGCTGCTGCTGTTGTTTTTACTTACTTTCTGTCTTCTGTAACTTCAGTATATGCACAGTGAAGGCAGAGTCTTTAACTGCCATGTCCACTGCTATACCCCTAGGACCCAGAACAGTACCTAGTACATCCTAGGAGTTTAATAAATATTAGTTGAATAAATGAAGTACTCAAAAGTGGTAATAATTTTAAGCTGTACTCTTTAGAATTTTCTGGAGCTATTAGGAAGAGGAAAATAATTACATTTTTCTTTCTTTTTATAACTTTTTGTTACTGAAAATATCAAAGGTACACAAAAGTAGAATAGCATAATGAACTTTTCTGAATGCATCACCCATCTTCATCAGTGTTACAAATCTGTTTTCAAGATCCTACCTAATTTTTCCCTAAATTGTTTTAAAGAAAATTCCAGACATCATATGATTTTACTTGCCCTTTTAAAAAAAATAAGTGATATATTTTCGCTTATTTTTTGTTTTAAAAATGCATTTTTACCTTTGATTTGTTGAGTCAGGATCCTAACAATGTTCATTTGCAACTAGTTGATATGTTTTCTAAGTCTCTCTTATCTATGAAAGTTCACCTTTTAAATTTATGCTATTTATTTGCTGGAGAAGTCAGATCATCTCGTAAAATTTCTTATATTCTGAATTTGGTGATTAGATCCTTCTAATGTTTAACATGTTCCTCCTTTGTGTTTTCTTTGAACTGATAGATTTCGAAGCTTGATTAGATTCAATTTCCATTCTTTTGGCAAGAATACATCGTAGCTTGTACAGTGTATTTTTCATTGTATTATAGGAGATTGTGTTGTCCTACCTTCAGAGATGTTAAGGCTGATTAGCAGGCTCCAGATCACCCTCATCCATCCATTGTAAAGTTCTGCCTCAGCCTTTCACCTAATGGTTTTAACAACCATTGATGATCGTTGCCTAAATCCGTTATTTCATTAGTGATTTTTTTTCTATCATTCCATCTATCATTAATAAGCTAGAATGCTTCTATAAGGAAGAAATTTTCTTTTAATTATTGGTTACCCTGAAATACAGTTCGCGCAAGAAAGGCAAGATGATTGCTTCTTTCCATTTTTTTTTCTATTTATTAATGTTATTTTTCAGAGGCATGTGTTGTTTCCTTAACCCTGCAAAGGTGACTAATTTTTCAGAATATCATTTTGAGTATTTCATAAATTTGCATTTTAATCCATCACATTATTTTTAATGTTTATATTATTCCATTTTGGGGCATTGGGAACCCCTTCAGTTTGGCTCTGTGCCCTTTGATGTGACCCAGTAATTTTAATAGTTTATTGGCTGTTTCTCAAGCCCATTCTTATACATGTAAGCTTATAGGGTTTTTAATTCTTTAATTTTTATATTGGTATTGATTTCCCCAGTATTGAAAATCTTAGTTTTTAATAGCATTTATGTTTTTTTAAAATTTTTCTCTTCTCTCCTGCCAGACTCTGTAATTATATAACTTTTGCATAATAATGAAACAAAGTTAAGGAAGTGCTCAAATAAAACAAAGTTTGCTGTCTTATAGACCTGGTCTCTTTTTTTTCCTCATGGCTCTTTCACCAAAGTTTTGTCCGATGCCTCTTTTAACATTAAAAAAAAATGTAGAAGGGTTTGTACAAAACTGTAGTTAAATGACATAATTTTTTTCTTTTTTCAACTTTTTTGCCCCCTGAGACAGGGTCTCACCCTGTTACCCAGGCTGGAGTGCAGTGGATCAGTCACAGCTCATTTGCAGTCTTGAACTCCTGGGCTCAAGATATCTTCCTGCCTGAATAGCTGGAACTATAAGTACGCACCACCATGCCCTGCTAATTTTTTAAATTTTTTTGTAGCAGCAGGGTCTCAATGTTGCCCAGGCTGGTCCGGAACTCCTGGGCTCTAGCAGTCCTCCCACCTGGGCCTCCCAAAGTTCTAGGATTATAGGCATGAGTCGCCATGCCTGCCCTATTTTTTTTCAACTTTTATTTTGGATTTAGAGGGTACATGTACAGATTTGTTACATGTGTATATTGCATGATGCTGAGGATTGGGGTATAGGTAATCCTTTCACCCATGTAGGAAGCATAGTAACACAGGATTTTTCTTGGCTACTTTGCCAGCCAGAGACCTCCGGCCAGCAACATCCATGCCCAGGCTTTTCTCAGGCCCGAGCTCACCAGAAGAGATGCCCCGTCTATTCAGCCTGCTGGGCTGTGCCTGGCTTGCACTCCAGTGCAGATCCTGCAGCCATTGCAACTGTACACTCAGCCCCTGGTAGGAGGGGGTGAGTGAGCAAGCAAGTGCAGTGTCCAGCTGGCTGCTCCAAGTAGTGAGGCAGAAGCGGGCTGTATGTGGGGCTTGCTGCTGGACCAGGCATGTCACACTGAGGGGAACATGGTAGCGCCCAAACTGGTGTCCGCAACCCTGAAACCTCAGGGGGAGTGTTACAGTGTGCTGATAGCTCTTTTAGTCCCACCATCTGCAGCCTGATGGATGGCTGTATGTTAACAGCTCTGTCAATCCTGTCGCCCCTGCTCCGGCCTGCTGCTGCTTCCTGTCATGTGGGGTAGCTGCCCTCCACTGGTGGAGTGTGGAAGGCCACAGTATTACAGCCTTCTTTGTACCTGTGTTTGGTGGGTCCTGAGTTCTTGTCCCACATCCAAGAAGAATGAGGTTGTACTGATGATCAAAGGGTGAGGAGGGTGGAGAAGAATTTTACTGAATGATGAGAAACAGTTCTCAGCCGAGAGGGCATGTGAGGGTGGTCTCTTGTCTTTCACTGGGGCTGGGTCTGGGGCCTTTATGGGCTCAGAATGGGGCAGTGCATGCTGATTGGTTTGTGAGTATGCAAAAAAAAACCAAAAAAACAAGGCACTAAAAGGCACTACTGAAAGGTGGGCATGACAGTGTAAAAAAACCAATTAGGGAAGGGTAGATATACGTAAAATAGGTGAAGGGTGGGGAATCAATCAGAGGAAAGTATGCCGAACAGGAAGAGAGGTTCTCAATCCAGTCTATGGATTTATCCAGGACTTGTAGCTAGCCTTTAAACTGTCTTTGGCTTGAAGGTTGGGTTTCAGTTGTATGTAATGATCATACAAGTGCATGTGTCTTTCTGGTAGAATGATTTATTTTCCTTTGGGTATATACCCAGTAATAGGATTGCTGAGTGGAATGGTAGTTCTAAGTTCTTTGAGAAATCTCCAAATTGCTTTCCACAGTGGCTGTGTTACATTCCCACCGGCAGTGTATAAGCGTTTCTTTTTCTCCACAACCTCACCAACATCTGTTATTTTTGATTTTTTAATAATTGCTATTCTGACTGGTATGAAGTGCTCATCACTGAAATCATCAGAGAAATGCAAATCAAAACTTCATATAATTTATAAAAAGGTCAGACAGCTGTGGAGGCAGAGAACTTTTACTGTCATTATCAGCAGCAATAGTGTGTAAAGGAGACTACATCTAACACAGTATTATACCCTGAGTATATACTCAATATTTTTTTTTCTCCTAAACTTAGGTGATTTTAAGAATAGAGTCTCGGCTGGGTGCAAGTGGTTCACGCCTGTAATCCCAGCACTTTGGGAGGCTGAGGTGGGCGGATAACTTGAGGCCAGGAATTCGAGACCAGCCTGACCAACGTGGTGAAACCCCATCTCTTTTAAAAATACAAAAAATCAGTTGGGCGTGGTGGTATGCACCTGTAATCCCAGCTACTTGGAGGCTAAGACAGGAGAATCTCTCGAACCAGGGAGGCGGAGGTTGCAGTGAGCTGAGATTGTGCCACTGTACTCCAGTCTGGGCGACAGAACGAGGCTCTATCTTGGAAAAAAAAAAAAGAGTAGAGTCTTCATGGGCTGGAATTCCAAAAGAATAGTGTCTCTAGGGGTCTTTATTCTTGTTCAGGAAAGGAATGACCCATGTTTACTCCTTAGAGTTTTATTTTTGTTCCTGCTGGAGAGGGGGCCATATTCTCCAAGCAGTGCTGGTTGGATTCTCTCTAAGATTAAATTTGAATATGAAAATAGGTTATATTAATACTGAAGCAACATAAACTAATCTGGTGCTGATGCTTCTTCATCAGAAACCAGTGAGAAACTAACTTGGTCTACTTTTTTTTTCCCCCAGACGATGGACATAAAAAAGCTCGAAACGCTTATCTCAATAATTCCAATTATGAAGAAGGAGATGAATATTTTGATAAAAATTTGGCACTCTTTGAGGTAATATTTTGGAGAAAACTATGGACTGAGACTTTAGAAACAGAGATCTCATGATAGCCATATTTTACCCCATTTGGTTTTAAAATTTTACAAGCTGTATAATTTAATGTTAAAAGAAAATATGATTATTGTAACTTGTAGTAAATTTTGTCTGTGTAATCTATAGTGAGTAACTATTAAATCAAATTGTTATGTAGTAAGGAAGAGGAGTTTGACTTCTTGGACATATCGATTACCTTGCAATCTAATTCAATTGTGATTTAATTGTTTTTATTAGAATAATCTTTCTTCTAAGTATAAATCAGTGTATTTCTCCACCCTTTGTCTGGAAAGACTATTATTTGCCTTAGAACTAACTAAACAAAAATCACTGTGGGAAGCAGGCTTCCAGATTGCAGGACTTGTATGTCTTTTTTTTAATTGTCAAATAATAATTGTATATATTTATGGATTACAATGTGATATTTCGATATTTGTATACATTGTGGAATAATTAAATCAAGCTAATTAGCATATCTATCACCTTGTATACTTATTTTTGTGATGAAAATATTTGAATTTTACTTTCTTAGCAATTTTGAAATATACAATATGTTAACTATAGTGGCTATGCTATGTGCAATAGATCTCAAAAACTTATTTCTCCTGCCTAACTGAAACTTTGTATCCTGTGACTAACCTTTCCCCCTTCCCCTATGTACACCCCAAGCATCTGGTAACCACCATTCTATTACTAGGAGTTCTACTTTTTAGATCCCACATGTAAGTGAGATCATGTGCTATTTATCTTTCTGTGCCTGGCTTATTTCACTTAACATAATGAAGAGGACCTGTATATCTTATCTGAACAAGACAACATGGACTCTGTGGCCAGGCTCCATAAGCTGTGGCTAGGTTGTTGAAAGGAGCCTGGTTTATTTCAGCACTACCTTTTTCTGGCTTTCGACAATGATGCAAGTGCCACTTCTCTCAATGTACCTTTTTTTTTAGTTTGTTTTTGAGGCGCGGTCTTGCTCTGTCACCCAGGCTGGAGTGCAGTGGTACGATCACAGCTTGACCTCCTGGGCTCAAGGGAGCCGCCTACCTCAGCCTCCCTAGTAGCTGGGACTGCAGGCACATGTCACCACACCTGACTGATTTTTAAATTTTTTTCAGAGACAGGGTCTTACTCTGTTGGCCAGGCTGGTCTTGAATGCCTGGGCTCAAGAGATCCTTCTGCCTTGCCCTCCCAAAGCATTAGGACAGCAGGTGTGAGCCACCATGCCTTTCAATGTACCTTTCTTTCTTTTTTGTTTTTTGAGCTGGAGTCTCACTCTGTTGCCCAGGCTGGAGTGCAGTTGCACGATCTCGGCTCACTGCAAGCTCTGCCTCCTGGGTTCAAGCCGATTCTCCTGCCTCAGCCTCCCGTGTAGCTGGGATTACAGGCACGTGCCACCACACCCAGCTGATTTTTGCATTTTTAGTAGAGACGGGGTTTCACCATCTTGGCCAGGCTGGTCTCGAACTCCCAGCCTCAGGTAATCCAGCCACCTTGACCTCCCAAAGTGCTGGGATTACAGGCGTGAGCCACTGCACCTGGCCTACCTGTGAAATATTTTTTCATTTGATTTGAAGTTTTCTGGTAGCAAGATTATTTTGATGCTTATGTTCAGTGTTGTTTGTCGCTCATTTCTTCCGTGTCACTGGCTTTATAGGAAGAAATGGACACCAGACCGAAGGTGTCCTCTCTCCTCAGCCGCATGGCCAATTACACTAATCTGACTCAAGGAGCAAAGGAACATGAAGAGGCAGAAAACATCACTGAAGGGAAAAAGAAGCCCACCAAGGTGAGGCCTCAGAAGAACAAAGAATACATAAAAAGCGCCCTGTATATAAGAAAGAAGGAAATACCTAAGGCACCATTCTGTGTTCAGCAGCTATGTATTAAATGCTTAATAGGTGCCTGGAACTGTTCTGGGCACCAGGGTCATAGCACAAACAAAACATACGATGTAGTCTAAATTCTAATGTGAGGATACCGTCCTCAAGCTGTTTTAACTGCCAAAATACATAACATATTAAGTGTTGATAAATGCCCTAGCAAAAAATTAAGCAGAGTAAAGAGACTGAAATTGGCATGGGAGCCAGAATGGAGGGCATTGCTACTTACATAGGTTGGACAGGGAAAGCCTTTCTGACAAGGTGATATTTGAGGAGAGATCTAGCTGATGTGAGGGAGTGAGCTATGTGGGAAAAGAGCATTCAGGAAGAGGGAATAGCTTTTCAAGAGAAGAGTGTCCATACCCATCTGCTGGTGCCATCTGTCTGTTGTGAAGTTGTTGGGTTTTTTAAAGACCAAGCATCAGTTTGTCTCAAAATGAAAATATAAGACATTCAGTTTACCATTCTGGTTGTTCAGCTCTTTGAAAAAGGGATAAAACAGCCTTCAGATCTTCATTTTACCATCTATTTTATTTACCAACTACTGTGAAGAATTTATGCCAAATTCTGAAGACATTCCATCAAGTCCTTATTGTTTTTAAATGAAAAAAGCCAACAGCTTTGAAAAACAAAATTTTAAATTGTGGGTGTGCGTAAAAGTTTATTCGTGGCCAGATGCCTATGTACAATAAAAACATGCGGGGACCTTTGTAAAGTTAAAATGTATAGCTTTAGGAATAATAAAAGTATGGTGATAAACACTTGAAAGATGGAGATTTTATATGTGTCCTTTTGAAGATATTGATTAAACTTACAATCTCTGCTTGGAGATTAATATGGTAGTTAGGGAACAAGTTATATAAAAGAATAAAAACCTCTCCTTAGGATAACTGTTTAATTTTTTGTCAATGTCTTTCTTTCTAGACCCCCCAAATGGGTACCTTCATGGGTGTCTACCTCCCGTGTCTACAAAATATTTTTGGAGTGATCCTTTTTTTACGCCTTACATGGGTGGTGGGCACAGCTGGAGTTCTTCAGGCTTTTGCAATTGTCCTTATCTGCTGCTGCTGTGTAAGTACCACACTGGCTCCTGGAGATCACCTGAATGTTGCAAGTTCTCAAGAGTAGATGCACACGACCTCTTTGGGAATAAAACAAAGAATACTTAGGGAAGGACTCATGATCTCAACAGAAGAAATTATTCTGATATTAAAATCTAAAGGATTTTCAGTTATTCAGTGCCTATTCGTCACTGCTTGCTATCTGTTATATTATGTACTAGAAATTAGGAAGCAAGACTTCAACTGGAAATGGAAGATAAAGTTCCTGTCTTCAAAGAATTCAGAATCCAAACTGTTTGAGCTTGATAGCACCAAAGCTGTAACAGAAAGTGTGTTAGAAAACGTGATGTGCTACTCCAGTATATATTAAGAAACAAGACAGGTTATGGGGGATGTGAGGGGTATTTGGGTTTTTTTTTATTTGGTTTTGAAGTTTCTTGCCTTATCCCTTCCTTAGCAATTCAGATGTTCTTTCCAGGTCTTCTCTCTACTGAGAACATTTTTATCTTCCTTTAAGTTAAACTTCTCCTAATTATGTATCCCAGCCAGACCTATGAATTTTATAGGTTTCCACTCTCCTCTTTTATCACTGTGACCTTTATATCCTACCTGTATATTATCCCCAGCTGATGAGCATACAGCTGATGAGCAAAACAGGTTAAGCAGGCACAGTTCATATTTTTATTAACTTAAAATTAATGGTACCACCTTTTTTTAGTTTCTCAGGCTTAAAACCTCAAGGCTGTGTTTGGCTTCTTAATTGCTTTTCACATCTAATCAGCTATCAACGCTAATCTATTCTCTGAAATCTTTTACACTCAGCCCTTTTTATTCACACTAACACCAGTATAGTTTTTACCTGTCACTGAACTACTATGGTAGCCTGCTAACCAGTCACTCTTCCTCCAGCTCCTCCTATCTGCAGTTCATTCTATACTCTGCTACCAGGTAATATTTTTAAAATGCAGTTCCTGTGTGTCCAGAAGCCTTCAGTGATTCCCTTTCTTACTGAACATTGTTCTTGATATTGTATTTAGTCTTTAGTCAGGTTCTAACCTATTTTCTGAGTTATTTCTCTAGTTCTTCCTTTTGAGTATACTATGGTCTATTTCCTGTGTAACTAGGAAATCCAGAGTGAGATTAGCAGTTCTTAATAGCACCTGACCTACTAATATGGGAGCATTTTGACAGAATCCTCCAGATACTAGTGGTATGACTAGTGCAATGAATTAGACCGTATCATCTTCTTTCCATACCATTAGGTATGACTGTCCATAAAAGTAGGTAGGGTTAAATGTTTGCCAAGTGCTCTTGGAACACAGAGGGAGAAGTAGTACAGAAATGTCATCTTTACACAGTAACAATCTTCTCCTTTCCCTTTCTCTGCAGACAATGTTGACTGCTATTTCCATGAGTGCCATTGCCACTAATGGAGTGGTGCCAGGTTAGTAGGTCAAGGTTGTATTTCAGGATTTATCAGTGTTGACTCTGTGTTTATGCTATAAAGCTAGAGGTGCAAACTTCTGAAGAACAGAATACTATTTAGTCTGTTCTGTGCTACAACAGAGTAATGGTCTATAGGACATAGACATGATACTACTTGACTTTAAGATACTGTCTTTAAAACTCTTTATTTTTAGCTTTCATTAGTTAGAAAATATATATATATATTTTACAGACAAAGTCTCACTCTGTCACCCAGGCTGGAGTGCAGTGACATGATCATAACTCACATAGCCTCCAGCTCCTGGGCTCAAGCTACTTTCCCACTTCAGCCTCCTGAGTAGCTGGAACTAGTGTATACCACTATGCCTGGCTATTTTTTTTTTGTTTAATTTTTTTGTAGAGGTGACATCTCACTATGTTACCCCAGTTTAGTCTCAAACTCCTGGCCTCAAGCAGTCCTCTCACCTCATCCTCCCAAAGTGCTACCATTGGAGACATGAACCTCCACACCCGGCCAGAATATATTTTATTGGGCTGTCTCGTGTCATAGTAAATAAAGTAATGCTGGCAAACTGTATTGCATCATATGGCTCATTACATTAGATGTGCAGTATATCCCACAGTAACACTTTCACCTTTTACTTCCCACTAGCAAATCTTTTTATCACATTCAGGGTTTGCGGAAGCCTGAAACATTTAACCTTCATGTATGTATTTTTTTCTTATTTCTATTTTATTCGTATTCCTCTTACTAATACACACTCTTTCTCCTATTCACCTTCTGTTTTGTCTTTTAGCTGGGGGCTCATACTTTATGATTTCCCGGGCACTGGGCCCAGAGTTTGGTGGGGCTGTTGGCCTCTGCTTTTATCTTGGTACCACATTTGCAGCAGCCATGTACATCCTTGGTGCCATTGAAATCTTTCTGGTAAGTAATGACTTCACTGTGGTCTATACTATAGAAGAAATATTGATTTTGGTTTATTCTTTGCTATGAAAGCTTCTGAGATCAGCTGTGGGAATACATCAGGTGATTGACTGCTTACCTCAGTTGGCCTCTTACGTGAACATGAGGTGGAAAGGTTGCAATTCCCTTTGCCTGCGTTCCTGATTTCTACCTGATTGCCACCACTCTGCCACCTCATCCAGGAGGTTCAAGTCCAGTGGGGAGAAAGTAAAATAAAGTTTATCTTTTTTAATATCTTCATCCCTATGAAATAAAATGCTTCTCATTTCTCTATTCACTGAGACATATTGTTTATTTAAAGTAGTGATAGTAGAATCGGGGTTAAAGATAATCATAATGACTTTATATAACCCTATGAATAAAAGTAATAATTCCTTTCTCTCCGTTTGGAAATGTAGTTATTCAGAACAGCATGTAGACAAAAAAAAAAAAAAAAAATCCTTGACATCCCATTTCTGCAGGCATTTCAGATCCTATTAGAAACTAGGCTAACTCCCCAGTCATTTTGTCTCTCAGCTTTGCTTTCTTTTATGAAAGTAAATGCAAACGAATACAGCCTTTTTACTTAATTCTTTCTAAATAACATAATTTTCTCCTTTATTTTACCTAACAGGTCTATATCGTCCCCCGGGCTGCCATCTTTCGCAGTGATGATGCACTCAAGGAATCAGCAGCCATGCTAAATAACATGCGTGTCTATGGCACAGCTTTCTTGGTCCTTATGGTATTAGTGGTATTTATCGGCGTACGCTATGTGAACAAGTTTGCCTCACTTTTCCTGGCCTGTGTCATTGTGTCCATCTTGGCCATCTATGCTGGAGCCATCAAGTCTTCTTTTGCCCCTCCACACTTCCCGTACGTGTCTGTCTCTCTGCCTAACCATCTTTGTTGGGTAGTAATTGAAAATATCTGGTGGTGTGATAATTTTAAGTCAGAATTTCATGGAGTCTCTCCGAGATTTTCCCTCTTGGATAAGCCGATTTAGACTTCCTTCCCCATCTAGGCAGGAAGCCTCCCAGCAAACTATGTCCTGTTCATCCTCTTTCTTATGTCCCAAACATAGAAATAGTAACTGTAACCATCATTTATGTTCAGATATTAGATTTTTTTCTCCCTGATAATTGTACATAATCTTTTTTTAATTATACATATTTTGAACTATTCATAAAGGGCTTTGCAGACAGTGTAGTTATTGCCAGCAGCCTTTATAAGGTATTTAAATGTTGGATTTCTTTTACTAATGAAAAATCAGGGGAGTCAAAAGAAACCTAAAATCTTACCTAAAATGTTTAATTAATTAAATTTTTTTTTCTGTCAGTATTGTAATGGACTAGTCATAAAGGGAAATACTGTACAATTTGCATATATCTCTATATATATGTAATATTACATACTATAAGTAATACAGCTACTTTTTTCAACCTTGATTTTATTTTTTTCAATTTGTATAAACTTATGGGGACAAGTGTAATTTTGTTACATGCACATGTTGTGCATTGGTGAATTCAGGGCTTTTATTAAGAGTTGGAATCTCACTTTGTTGCCCAGGCTGGAGTGCAGTGGCGTAATCTTGGCTCATTGCAACCTCAGCCTCCTGGGTTCAAGCAATTCTCCTGCCTCAGCTTACCAATTAGCTAGAATTACAGGCATGTGCCACCACATCCAGTTCTGTTTTTTTTTTTTTTGTGAGACAGAGTCTCGCTCTGTCACCCAGGCTGGAGTGCAGTGGTGCAATCTTGGCTCACACAACCTCTGCCTCCTGGGTTCAAGTGATTCTCCAGTCTCAGCCTCCTGAGTAGCTAGGACTACAGGCACACACCACCGTGTCCAGCTAATTTTTGAATTTTCGGTAGAGGTGAGGTTTCACCATGTTGGCCAGGCTGGTCCTGAACTCCTGACCTCAAGTGATCTGCCCACCTCGGCCTCCCAAAGGCGTGAGCCACTGCGCCCAGCCTAGGTCAGGGCTTTTATCCATTACCCAAATAATGTACTTTGTACCCATTAAGTACTCTCTCATCATTCATCTCCTCCTTCAACTCCCTAGTGCAAGTACTTTAAAGTATGTTTTTTGAAGTAGTAATGGATTTGTGCAGATCTGTGACTCACAGGCTCCCTTTTCGCTTTGACTAGTGGCATAGGGACTAGCTGGCACTGAGTGTTATTTGTAGTTTTGTTACAGAATTATCTTGAAGAGTCATCTGGATTATCTGAGGATCAAACTCATCGGTTCTATGTTGATTTAAACAGATTACAGAAAAAAAGATTTTTCAAGACAAAAAGACAGTTCCAATAGGTTTAATGACTTACCTCAAAGTTAATTAATGGCAGAGCAAGAAGATGAACTGTGATTTCGTGACTCCCCATTCAGTATTTATTCTGTGCCACACTACATGATGGCAGAAGAAGATTCCATCTTAAACTTTTAATCTGCTTATCTAGGGACTGTAATATAGCTGAAGGTCCTTTCTAGGGTCATACAATTTCTAAAGGTGACATTCTGGTTATATCTCAATTTGGGAAATTCCATTTTGTCTCAGGTTCGCCTTTGGGACTTTTCCTCTTTTTTGATTAGTACACGGTCATAATGCATGGTATTTTCTTTGAGATATTCCAGCAAAACAAGACAAAAAATCTAGAATACATGAAACAAGACTGGGAAATGTTGAGAGTTGTTGAAGCTGAGTAATAGGTACATGGTTCATAATAATGTATTCAATCATTTTACAGATTTTAAAAGTCCCTTTGTTGGACCTGAGAGGTATTTTAACTATGGATGTATTATTCCTTTGTTTATATTTGTGTCTCTGGGTTAAAGAAAAAAATAAAACCAGCAGGTTAATATTTGTGTTATCCTTACCCTCACTCCCACTGGGTCTAGGCTTAAGTTCAAAAACAGTTTTCTCTTAGGCCATAGAGGGATCTGCCTTTTAATTCTGGCCAAGCTGTTTTCCTTGCAACAGTAGCCAGAAGATTCGACCTTTAGCATAACATTTTCAAGGGGTTTGTTAAGAATGTAAGGCTTTTCTAGGCCAAAAACAGAGGAGTGCTTTTTTCTTTATAAGAACAACAAAAGAACTTCAGTATTCTTTTAGACCTAACAATTTTAGCCAAAAATTTTGGAAGATGAGTCAGCATAATGTCTTCAGACAGTTCTTCAATTTGAGTTCCTTCACTGCCACCTACCACCTATGACCTTGGACAGATAACTGTATTTCCCTAACCTTCAATTAACTCCCTAACTTCCTAAACTTCAGTGCTTCCATCCACAACATAGAAATTCTAATACATTGTGAGGTTGCTGTAAGGATTAAATTGGCAGAAAATGTAAGTCACCATTCACAGTGCTAAAATAAATTATAAATAAATAAACAGTAGTTCCCTTCCCACCCATGACAGTAGAAGCTCTTAAAGATGGGGTTCTTGTTTCCTTTACTAACCTGTTTCCTTTTTTTCTTTTTTAATGTGTTTTTTTTCCTTACTTGATCTTTCTCCCTATTTCTTTTCACTTAGGGTCTGCATGCTGGGTAACCGCACCCTTTCATCAAGACACATTGACGTTTGCTCTAAAACCAAGGAAATTAACAACATGACAGTCCCATCAAAGTTATGGGGATTCTTCTGTAACTCGAGTCAATTTTTCAATGTCACCTGTGATGAATACTTTGTTCACAATAATGTCACTTCAATCCAGGGCATTCCTGGATTGGCTAGTGGTATCATTACAGGTAAGTTAGGGAGTTATTGGACAAGTGTTTTCCTATTTTCTGGGGAAAATAGGCCTTGTCATCTTAGATTCTTCTGCTGTCCATAAAGATTCACTGCCATGGTGCTAATTTCCTTAAGCATACCACACAGCTCTTAATTCAGCGTATTTCTGCTTTTCCATTAGTAAAGCTGTCCTTATTCAGCACTCCTTTACAGAGTGATGTCTGCTAAAATTCACCTCCATTTCAGAGCAGAGTTGAGCAAATCACTTTCTAATCTTAGGATAAATTATTCTGTGCATTCTTGTAAAATTGCCAGTGTTCTTCCTGCACTGACAGAATAGAACTATTTTAATGTCCACATCCACATGTATCTTCCTAACTTAGCTAAATTCCTGAAACATTCCTTAAGTGGCTTCTATTATAAATGTTTGGTCTATAAATTTCTTTGCACATAAGTAAGTTTACATTAAGGTGTTAGAAACAGCGTTGATGACTAATAAATAATAATGAGATTTGTGGGGCATTTAGTTTTAGTCTGTTTAACTTTTACTAATTTGCATTAGTAAAGTTAAACTGTATTTGTATATACCAAATCGTTTTGTCAAATTATATTTAAATTAGATAAGAAAGAACACTATGTTTGACTGGGCGCGGTGGCTCACGCCTGTAATCCCAGCACTTTGGGAGGCCAAGGCGGGTGGATCGCGAGGTCAAGAGATCAAGACCATCCTGGCCAACATGGTGAAACCCAGTCTCCACCAAAAATACAAAAATTAGCTGGGCATGATGGCGTGCACCTGTAGTCCCAGCTACTGCTACTCTGGAGGCTGAGGCAGGAGAATCTCTTGAACCGGGGAGATGGAGGTTGCAGTGAGCCGAGATTGTGCCACTGCACTCCAGCCTGGTGACAGAGCAAGACTGTCTCAAAAAAAAAAAAAAGAGGCTGGGCACAGTGGCTGACACCTGTAATCCCAGCACTTTGGGAGGCTGACGTGGGCGGATCACGAGGTCCGGAGATAGAGACCATCCTGGCTAACGTCGTGAAACCCCGTCTCTACTAAAAATACAAAAAATTAGCGGGACGTGGTGGCGGGCGCCTGTAGTCCCAGCTACTCGGGAGGCAGGAGAATGGTGTGAACCCGGGAGGCAGAGCTTGCAGCGAGCCAAGATTGTGCCACTGCACTCCAGCAAGACTCTGTCTCAAAAAAAAAAAAGAACACTATGTTTTTATTTATGTGTGTTTTATTGTGCAATGTGTGTGTGTACATGTGCTCATGTAGAAGCAAACACACCTTTAGAAACTGTATAAATGAGGAGCCTGATTTTGAATGTTTGGGTAGAAAATTATCTAATTATCTGTTTTTCATACTGCTGCTGCTTAAATTCCCATTTTTCCCACTGCAGAGAATCTTTGGGGTAATTACCTACCCAAGGGAGAGATCATTGAAAAGCCTTCAGCCAAATCTTCTGATGTCTTAGGCAGCTTAAACCATGAATATGTTCTTGTTGACATCACCACCTCCTTCACGCTTCTTGTGGGAATCTTCTTTCCCTCTGTTACAGGTAAGCATGTAGGCTGTTGTCTGTTTTAGAAGCTGTCAGACCCAGGGAGTGATTTTTCACAGGAGGCAGAATTCTCAGGGTTCCTAGATTTGCTTCTACTCTTTGCTGTCAGTATCAACATCAAAGTGTCCAAGAAGTTAACTTGGTTTTTCCCCCCTTATCTCTAAAGGTATCATGGCTGGATCAAACAGATCTGGAGATCTGAAAGATGCTCAGAAGTCTATTCCCATTGGTACTATCCTTGCCATCCTGACCACCTCCTTTGTCTGTATCCTTTTTATGGATCCAGTCTAAGTCTCAGTCTTAGGAGCATCCAGTAGAACTGGATGATCAGTATTTTTATCCGAGTAACAAAGGTACCTGCTTTCTGTCACTTCACTTCTTGCCAGATAATCTGCCTACCTCATATAGGAAATTCAAAAAAGAATTTATAGGCGTATTTAGCAACTCATTTTACTGATAGAAGAAATATCCTGAGTATCTACTTTCTATCTCATGTTAGAAGGTAAACAACAGTTTCCTTGACTGTCAATATGGTAGATTTAAGCAATGTTGTCCTTTTTGGTGCATGTATTGAAGGGGTTGTTCTCAGAGACAAGTGAGTAATTAATTTATTTGTAACAATTACGTCTGTCTGCCATGACTTCTGATCATTCCACATAGCTCCAAGACAGTTACAGACTCAACACAGCCAGGCACCGTGGCTCATGCCTGTAATCCCAGCACTTTGGGAGGCCAAAGCGGGTGGATTGCTTGAGCTCAGGAGTTCAAGACCAGCCTGTGCAACATGGCAAAACCCTGTCTCTACAAAAAGCATGAAAATTAGCCAGGTGTGGTGGTGTGCGCCTACAGTCCCAGCTACTTGGGGGGCCAAGGTGGGAGGATCACTTAAGCCTGGGAAGTCAAAGCTGTAGTGAGCCATGATGATGCCACTGTACTCCAGCCTGGGTGACAAAGTGAGACCCTTTCTCAAAAACAATAACCCAACCTGAATTATCAACCATGGCTAAAAAAAAAAAGAAAATATATGAATGTAGTTCCCAAAGGGGCCAGTATTTTCTAGTGAATATGTGAGACAGTTAAATACAGTCCTTCAAAAAAGCAGTGACTGTGTCTGAATAGTGAGGACTTCCCTGTCCATCCAGAACTGTTCAGAAACGAGACCAAAAGTCAAGAAGGGCAAGTAAAAAAAATTTCAAGTGTCTCTAGCATCTCCTTTATGAGAGATAAGTATCTAATTGTGTCTGGCATTCTAAATAAAAGCCTGAAACTTACTTTCTTCATATTCTGTTCTTTTCTCTTCTTTTCTTTTCTACTTATTTATGTAGAGATAAGGTCTTGCTCTGTTGCCCAGGCTACAGTGCAGTGGTGCAATGATGGCTCCCAGCCTCAACCTCCTGGGCTCAAGTAATCCTCCCACCTCAGCTTCCCAACTAACTGGGACCACAGGAGCATACCACCACACCAGCTAGGTTTTTTTGTTTTTTTTTTGTTTTTTGTTTTTTTTGGTAAAGATGGGGCCTTACTATGTTGTCCAGGATGGTCTGAAGCTCCTGGCCTCAAGCAGTCCTCCCACCTTAGCCTCCCATAGTGCTAGGCTTATAGGCATGAGCCACCACACCTAGCCCTTTCCCCTATTATTTTTTAAAAATTTCCACACTATACAGATATATCCCCTGGTCTTTATCCACATCAATCACTTTGCACAGACCTTCAGGATTTTTGCCTATGTTATTGTAATAATCTCCCTTTTAGTTCTAGCCTCTAATCCTTCTTCCACACTGCCACCAGAGTGGCTTTTCTAAAACACAAAATTTGAACCTATAAACCTCCCTGCTTCAGAGCCTGCCAAAGCCTGTTAAAATCCATCACTGTGATCTGGCCCTCTCTGCCTCTTTTTACGCTTATCTCCTGCTATTCCCTCATAATCTCCCTAACTTAGAGTTTAATATGTCTTATTATGTCTCCACTTACAAACACATTTGTCTATGTTGTTTCCTTTGCTTAGAATAGGTTACTCCCACCTGGCCAACTCATATTCATCCTCTTAGAGACTAGGCTAATGGTCTTCTCTCCTGTAAAGCTTTCCCATACTCACCCAAACAGAGGTCAACACTCCTTGTGTTCAGCCACAATATATTCTATACATTATAGAATATACTATATTATGGCATTTATGATGCTATATTGCAGCTACTTGTTTTCGTATCACTGTCCCCTACACGTTGAGCCCTTTGAGGACGCGAAGCCTAATAGATGCAATATAAATATTGTTGACAAAATAAAGAGCACAGTATATATATGTATGTAACATGGTATATATGTGTGTATGGGGGGGTGTATATATGTATGTATAGAGTATAGTATATGACTATACCATTGTAGTAGGAAATTCATGGAGCTTTGGTAAGTTACACCATAATGTAAAAATTATTATTGAGAGTGTAAATTAGAGTATCATTTTGGAAAATTATTGGTTATTATCTCCTAAAGTTGAACACGTGCTTACCTATGACTCAGCATTTCCACTTCTAGGTGTATCTAACGGAAATGCTTGCACATGTGCATCAAGAATAATTCACGAGAATTTTCACAGTAGTGTTATTCTTTTTTATTTTATTTTATTTTATTTTTTTGCCTGCTTCATTTTCCCTTCATAAATATTCTTAATAGCCAAAACCTGGAAATAATCCAAATGTCCATCGCTAGTAGAATGATTAAATTATATATTCATGTAATAGGAAGCCATACAGCAAAGTACGTCATAGCAATATACAACCCCCCGAAAAAATTCACAAGCAATGCTAAGAAACCAAACACAAAAGTATGTACTGTGTATCATTTATATAAAGTTTTAAAACGGTAAAACTACATAGTATTCAAAGTCAGAGGGCTGGATGTGGTGGCTCATGCCTGTAATCCCAGCACTTTGGGAGGCTGAGGCTAGAAGATTGTTTGAGTCAGGAGTTCCAGACCAGCCTAGGCAACATAGCAAGACCTTGTCACTACAGAAAGTAAAAAATTAGCTGGGCATGGTGGCGTATGCCTGTAGTGCTAGCTACTGGGGAGGCTGAGGCAGAAAGATCACTTGAACCCAGGAGGTTGAGGCTACAGTCAGTCATGATCACAGCACTACAGTCCAGCCTGGGTGACAAAGCAAAACCCTGTCTCAAAAAAAAAGAAAAAAAAGCATAGTGGAGAGGAAGAAAGGGCTAATGAGGGGAATGGGCATAAGAGAGAATTTTGGGTACTGGTAATGTTCTGTTTCTTGACCTACGTGGTAATAGGTCAACACCTACAGCATGGGGTGTTTGCTTTATAGAAATCTTCAGATATGCATTTGTTGTTTTTTGCACATTTTTTTTTCCCCTAGACAGAGTCTTGCTCTGTCACCCAGGCTGGAGTGCAGTGGCGCAATCTCAGCTCACTGCAACCTCCGCCTCCCAGCTTCATGCCATTCTCCTGCCTCAGCCTCCCGAGTAGCTGGGACTACAGGCGCCCGCCACGATGCCTGGCTATTTTTTTTGTATTTTTAGTAGAGACAGGGTTTCACCGTGTTAGCCAGAATGGTCTTGATCTGCTGACCTCGTGATCCACCTGCCTTGGCCTCCCAAAGTGCTGGGATTACAGCTGTGAGCCGCCACGCCCAGCCTTGCACATTACTTTTTGTGTGTGATACTTAATAAAAATTGTTAAAAGCAAGTAATTAAACTATTGCCATGTTTCACCCATCAAATTAGCAGTGACCTTAATATTTTTTTAATCCACAAGACTGGTGTGGAGTGTGCATGTGCTGTAAGACTTGAATCTTCTTGTATTTCCAGTGGGAGTAAAATTTAGTACAACCTTCTGGACAGCAATTTAGTGATTTTGAAATGTTCTAAGATATTGATCCCTTTGGTTAGTTATTTCCTCTTAAGAATCTGCCATAACTTAGCTGGGCACAATGGCTCATGCCTGTAAATCCAGCACACTGGGAGGCCGAGAGGGGAAGATCACACAAGCCCAGGAGTTCATGACAAGCCTGGGCAACAAGGCGAGATCCCGTCTACAAAAAATTTTGTGAAAGATAAGCCAGACATTGTAGCGCACACCTGTGGTCCCAGCCACTTGGGAGGATGAGGCAGGAGCATCACCTGAGCCAGAGAGGTCAAGGCTGCAGTGAGCTGAGATAGTGTCACTGTACTCCAACCTTGGCAACAGAGTGAGACCTGTCTCAAAACAAAAACAAAAAAAACAAAAAACCTGACATAAGGAAAAAAACCTGAACTGTGAACATAGATATGTGCATAAAGATGTTAATTATAACATTTTATACAATAGAAAATCAACAGTGAAGAATGGATAACAAATTGTGATGCAATATTATTCAGATCACTAAAAATGTTTATTCATAGCTTTTTATGACATAGAAAAATGCTTATGTTTCACGAATACAGAATTATAGGTGCAGTGAGATCTCAATTTTTCTTTTCTTTTTTTTTTTTTTTTTTGAGGACGGGTCTCGCTCTGATCACGGTTGGGCGCAGTGGGATCTCAGCTCACTGCAAGCTCCGCTCCCAGGCTTCACCACCATTCTCCTGCGTTCAGCTCTGACCCTGCTGGGCACAGGCGCCCCGCCTCGCCGTTGGCTAGTTTTTTGTATTTCTTTTTGGTACGAGGCGAGGTTTCACCGTGTTAGCAGGATGGTCTCGATCTCCTGACTCGTGATTCACCCGTCTCGCGGCCTCCAAGTGCGGGTATTACAGGCTTGAGCCACCGCGCCGGCCTTTTTTTTTTTTTTTTTGAGACGGAGTCTCGCTCCGTCGCCCAGGCTGGAGTGCAGTGGCCGGATCTCAGCTCACTGCAAGGCTCCGCTCCCAGGTTCACGCCATTCTTCTCGCTCAGCCTCCCCAGTAGCTGGACTACAGGCGCCGCCCCCACCGTCGCCCGGCTAGTTTTTGTATTTTTTTAGTAGAGACGCGGGTTCACCGTGTTAGCCAGGATGGTCTCGATCTCCTGACCTCGTGATCCGCCCGTCTCGGCCTCCCAAAGTGCTGGGATTACAGGTTTGAGCCATCGTGCCCGGCCTCAATTTTTCTAAAAAGCAGATATTTTGATACCCTGGAGGGGAAAGTTAAAACTGAAGCTTAGCTTATTTTCTAGCCCCATATGTATTTTTTTCCTAATATAGGTCAATAGTGCCTTTTGATCAAATCTGGCTATCTTTATATTTTGTAGTATTATTTGTCTTACTTTTGATTCTCTAAAATTTATAAATAGAAAAAAAAAAATTGGGTGGGCCAGACTCAGTGGCTCACGCCTGTAATCCCAGCACTTTGGGAGGCTGAGGCAGGTGAATCACTTGAGGCCAAGAGTTCAAGACCAGCCTGGGCCACATGGTGAAACCTCGTCTCTACTAAAAATACAAAAATTAGCCAGGTGTGTTGACGCACACCTGTAATCCCAGATGCTTGGGAAGCCAAGGCAGGAGAATCACTTGAAGTTGGGTGGGTGGAATTTGGAGTGAGCCAAGATCACACCACTGCACTCTAGCCTGGGTGACAGAGTGAGACTCTGTCTCCAAAAAAAAGAAAAAAGAAAAAAAGAATGGGTGAATGTCTCTCTAGTCTTTCAGTCTAAAGTTATTTCCAGATTAAATTTCCCTACTCCTATTTCTTTCCCAGGTTCGGTGATGCTGTGAAAGGTAATTTGGTGGTGGGCACCTTATCTTGGCCATCCCCATGGGTGATTGTTATTGGCTCCTTCTTTTCAACGTGTGGGGCTGGACTTCAGAGCCTCACAGGTGCACCGAGGCTGCTACAAGCTATTGCCAAGGATAACATCATACCATTTCTGAGGGTGAGTGACCTTTTTTATGCCCTCTTCTTTTTTTCCCAGCTTTAATGAGAAACAGTGTGGTCTTCATGGGCTTAGAAATTACTAGACCATAAATGTGGAGACATGGGTTTTTAGTACAAGACCCTCTAAATCCCAAGCATGAGTTTACATGTGAGTGCTATAAAGGTGCTTAAAAGATATCACAGTTGTAACACTATTGATCTTCCAGATGTCTGAAACTGTAGGCTAGAGAAATCAGAGAGCAATGACTCAATACTCCTATGCCTGGTATTTCCTTTCTGTGTACAGGTTTTTGGCCACAGCAAAGCCAATGGGGAGCCTACCTGGGCTTTACTTCTAACTGCTGCCATTGCAGAGCTTGGAATACTTATTGCCTCCCTGGATCTTGTGGCTCCAATTCTTTCCATGTAAGAGCCAGTGATTTTCTTCAGTTATTCTTGCTTACATGATAAATAATGCATGTTTATTTCCCTCAGTCATGTAACAGTAGTGATAACAGAGTGGGCTAAATACAGATGTAACTTCACTTAAATAAAAGTCATTCCTGAGAACTCTCAAGTAAGGCTAACTTTTGTAAGTTACTAGGTTTTTTCCTACCTATTTAAATTCAGAAGTTCTTTGGCTTCATTTCTAATTCATTATCAATTGGTTGTAGCTTTTTACCACCACTGTTAGTTTTTTTATTTATTCACCTGTGATTTATTGATGACTTACTACTTACCTGGCACTGTGTAATATGGTATTCTGGGAATACAAAGATGGGTAAGACAAAATCTTATGGAACTGATAATGGATAAGGAAACCAATGATTCCCATATAGCATGATGAGTGCCATGGTAAGGGTGAACACTGAGTGCCATAGGAACACCAGGGCAGGGCATGTAAACAGACGGAAACTCGAGAAAGATTTTCTGGAGGAAGTGATACTTGTATCTTGAAGAATAACTGGTTATTTGCTAAGAAAAGAAGGGGTGAAGAACATTTCAGGCAGAGAATGCGTATAAAGGAATTGAGGAATGACATAAGGTAGCATATCCAGAGAACTGGAAGTAGTTTGGCTTGGCTAGAGTGGAGGGTGCATGCTGAGGGAATAGCAGAATAGAGAAGTAGGTAGATCAGGATCACAAAGGGTCTGGAACTTTTACCTGGAAGTAGTGGGTAATCTTTGAGAACAAAATGATAATGCTTTAGGATGATCAGTCTGGTATAAAAGATGGATTAGAAGGAGGCTAGACTTGCTCCTCTAATGCTAATTAGGGAATGCTAATTGGAAAGAAGAAATGAGAGCCTAAACTAAGGTGATTAGTAGTAGAGATGAAAAGGAAGAGAAGCAGCTTAGAGATTTTTAAATAGAATCCATAGGACTTGGTAAGTGAATTTGGAACAAGGGTAAGGAAGAGGAAACCTGGATTATCCTAAGAACAACTGGGTAAAGAGTGGTAATGTCATTGACTGAGAGAACAGAGAAGGATGAGCAGCTTTGTGAGGAGAGGTTGAAGTTTCCCTGCTTCCTACTTAATCAAGGGTTAGTTGTCTAGAAACAGACTTCAATACAGCAAAGGTCTCCAGTTCCTTAACCTTCAAAGAATCATCTTCCAATAAGAATCACTCTTATTCTTTTCATTCTTCAGGTTTTTTCTCATGTGTTACCTCTTTGTAAACTTGGCATGTGCCTTGCAAACATTACTTCGAACACCCAACTGGAGACCCCGATTCCGCTACTACCATTGGTAAGTCTGCTTCTTTTATTCTTTTTACTCACGTTTGGAGAGAACCCATCTTTGAAGTAGAAAACTGGGAGAGTCTGGGTTCTCGATAAAATTTTTTTCTTGGTCAGTCGTTTCATACTGTTTCAACTTTCAATTCTTATCTGAATCCTCACCCTCCTATCCTATTTTCCTATATCACTTTATAATAACTTATAACACCCAATAAGAGTAGAGCAAAAGCACAAAATAGATATTTCCAGCCTTCCGTAATTTTCAGATTAAAACAACCTTCTCTTGCATATTTATTTTCCTGTTTGTCTCTTAGGGCTACGGAGTCAGAGGTTCTAAGTTCCAATCTCAGCTCTACTGTTTCCTAGCTTTGTAACCTTCAGCAAAGCACATAACCATGTAAAATTTAATTTTATTCATTTGTAAAATGGGACTAATAAATCTAAAGTGCTTGTCGTAGTGCCTGGTACATAGTAAAGCTCAGCTCTCAATGAACTGTTGCTGCTGCTGCTGTTGTAGTTAAGTCTCCCCAGTCCTGAAGGGGTTGTCATGAAAGATTTTTGGCTACCATCCCATATCTGTCCTCTCATAGCTAAGAGCTCATTAATTATGTCCGTATGTACCCACTGCTACATTCTTCTTTGCTAACTTTCTCCTTGTTCCCTTTCTGTCTTCACTTACCAATGGTGAACAGTGATGTAACCTTTATTGGGCAAAAATCAAAATCTTCAACTAAGTTTTAATGCCTCTGATCCTCTTTCTAGCTTTAACGTTAGTTAAAAGTTCTTCATGAGGCCGGGCGCATTGCCTCATGCCTGTAATCCCAGCATTTTGGGAGGCCAAGGGAGGCGGATCACCTGAGGTCAGGAGGTTGAGACCAGCCTGACCAACATGGAGAAACCCCATCTCTATTAAAAATACAAAGGTAGCCAGGCGTGGTGGCGTATGCCTGTAATCCCAGTTTACTCAAGAGGCTGAGGTAGGAGAATCATTTGGACTCGGGAGGCAGAGGTTGCAGTGAGCCGAGATTGCACCATTGCACTGCAGCCTGGGCACCAAGAGGGAAACTCCGTCTCAAAAAAAAAAAAAAAAAATAAAAGGTGCCTGTATGTTAAACTTTGTTGTTGCTATCTTGCCTCTATTTTCTCTTTCTCTTTACCCTATATTTTCATATACATCCTAGTTTTCTCCAGATTAACATTCCTATTCATTCTTAAAAACTCATCACAGAGCTAAGAAGTCATTCTGTATACACAGAAAAACTTAAGTAAATATGGTTGTCTACCTAATTTGGTCAAAACAAGCAATTAATTCATTAGCCGTCTGCCAGCGTTCTCTACTTTTACAGTCCAAAAATAATTTTCTTTCTTTTTTTTTTTCTTGCAGACAGCGAGTTTTGTTCGTTGCGCCCAGGCTGGATGGCAGTGGTGCGATCTCGCTCACTTCAAGCTCCGCCTCCTGGGCTCACGCCATTCTCTTGCCTCAGCCCTTCCGAGTAGCTGGGACTACAGGCGCGCCCACCACCCATGCCCGGCTAAGTTTTGTATTTTTAGTAGAGACGGAGTTTCACCATGTTAGCCAGGATAGGTCTCAATTCCGGACCTCATGATCCGCCTGCCCTCGCCTCCCAAAGTGCTGGGATTACAGCCGTGAGGCACCACGCCTAGCCCAAAAATAATTTTCTCAGTGAGTTCCTGCAGTTATGCTAATAAATGGTTTATAAACTTTTTACGAAATGATTATATGAAATTTTTAAAGATCC